TTAATATGTTTAGGCGGTTCTTTTTTTCATTTTTATTTGACATGGTATCAAGAACTGTAATGCAGAAATTCTGCAAGGTTTGACAGCCTAAGCGTGCAAAAATTCTGCACGCCTTGAAGTCCAGTGCTGCAGAAATTCTGCATGGTATGGCGTCCAATGATGCAGAAATTCTGCAAGGTTTGACGTCCAGTGCTGCAGAAATTCTGCACGCCTTGACGCCAGTGCTGCAGAAATTCTGCACGCCTTGACGTCCAGTGCTGCAGAAATTCTACACGCCTTGACGTCCAGTGCTGCAGAAATTCTACACGCCTTGACGTCCAGTGCTGCAGAAATTCTGCACGCCTTGACGTCCAGTGCTGCAGAAATTCTGCACGCCTTGACGTCCAGTGCTGCAGAAATTCTACACGCCTTGACGTCCAGTGCTGCAGAAATTCTACACGCCTTGACGTCCAGTGCTGCAGGAATTCTGCACGCCTTGACGTCCAGGGCTGCAGAAATTCTGCACGGTATGACATCCTGAGTTAAAGAAATTTTATGTGTTGCAAGGTCAATGCTGCAGAAATCCTGAGTCGTTGCTTTTCCATTCTCAAAAAAGACAATTTGTAGAGGGCCTACGCATACCAACAATTTCGATCAGTTTTCTATTTATGCTTTTTCTATTTTTCAGTGATCATAGTTGAAATAACAATACTGTGTTTGCTGATGTTTTTTGAATGATAGGATAAAGTTGTGAAAATAAATCCACAGTTGGAAACTAAAGGCTATTAACAGAGGCCCATACCCGCTTTATCAAACAGAACTATTCATAAATCATGCAGGCTTTTAATCAAATGCCAAAAGGTTAGTTGTTGAAAGGAAATTAATTTTCTCTTCCCTGCAAGAAAAAAAATCGCGTAATTGAATTTTTGTACACATACAGGATGAGCTCAATCAATGAAAAGATGGAAGTAATCCTGTCTTGGCATAAGGAGAGCTCATCTGTTGCAGAATAAGATGATCTGTTCATTTTTAAGGAAATTTAAAATTAGATGACCTTGGAATGAGGACACTTAAAGCCGAATTTACATCACTATCACTGAGTGACGATATCGTCATTTATTCATATGAGATAAATGTTTTTCCTCGAAGTTACGACGATACAAGATTTAGATTTTTGACTCCTCTTCCTTCTGTTCACAAGGCGATGCAGTAATGTTGATTTAATAGTATCCAAGAAAATTAGTCTTTCACTGCTCACACATAATTGTCTAGGTGTCATTTGCCTTGAAACAGACCAGTGTACAATTACGGGGGTTTGTAAGGCCTCCTTCTGTACGTATGGATCTGAAAAATTAAAAGAAAGTGAAGTTACATCACATGGACATTTCAAAACAGGATGTATGAATTCATCAGCACTGTCTTGACTATGATTTGAACAGGTCTTGGTGTAACTAGGCTAGCTTGGCTTTTGCGCAGATAATGTTTTACTGAAGTTTAGCTGTACTGAACCTTTCGTATAACCGTGGGTTTACTGAAGCAAATTGAAACGTATCCCTTCAGTGAATTCGTTGGAACTAATTTGTCCTGAGAGAGGACCAGTAAGATATTGCAGGCCTAAGACGAATGTTCAAAAAAAAGTTCACGCTTCATGGACATAAAAGAGAAAATTTCTAATCTCTCCTCTTATGTTCATGGTTTCAGGGAAATCTTGAGGTTTTCACGCGATGAAAAAAAAAGAGAAAATTCAGGTTCAAGGATATTTTAGGCCTCATACAATTTCGTAAATTCACGAATAACGTTAACCTTTCAGTAAAATTCACGCGTCGCATTATAACTTTGGCCTTCATCATTTCGTAAACTTTGCCCCGTTTACTAGGGATAACCGGTCTTCTAACGTACTGGACTCAATCAACAGACTCGACTGAGTTTAATTTTTAATCGTTCTCGCGTATTCACTCAGTTACAGCAGGCGTGTAAAGAGCTACTCTGGCAACTTGAAACGAGATCCTAATTCTTATACTACATTGTGATTGATCGTTGCTAAGCACTATGAAAAAGGTTATTCGAGGTGACGTCAATCATGTACAAATTAGAAACTCCACGATAATGTTGTTGACAAAATTAACGTCACGCAAGTAATCACGCAGTCTCCGACAATCACGCGTCACGTATAAATCCTTAGTGATGCACCAGTTTATTCATACCTTAAGTATCCTCTCAGAAAGTGATTGTCCACAGGGTCCAGCAAAGGAATGTGATGACTTTTGCAAAAAGTCCGCATCGATTATTTTTGGAGAAAAGGTAAACTCTTGTTCCTGTTCTGTAAAGATACGCAACTCCTGATTGTATTATTTTGATGCTCCATACTTCCAATACTCCCATTCTCCTTATCTTTCGGAGGCATCTGGCGTATGAAGAATTTAACGGACGCAAATGAGATGTGAGTTAGTTCAAAGACCAACTATTTTCAAAGCCGACAGACCCATGAATCACGAACTCGTGTCTTCTCATCATTGCCTCTCTTATTATAAAATTTAGGGCGCAATTAAGAGCGGCGAAGAGAGAGTCGCAAACAACGACATTTCTGTCTGAGGTTTTCACACCTTCAAATCAATTAAGAATATGACATTTTGCCGTGAGTGCTTATCTAATCAACTTAAAGCTTCCTTGATTCTTTCTCTTGCTCGTTAACTGTTCGAAATGCCTTGCAATTGTAAGGTCTTGTCCACACTAAACCTTTTTAAGCTCAGAAATTTGAGGTTTTTTTTTTTTTTATAACCATACTAAGGAAACATATCTATTTTTCTTCGTCCCGGCGGGCTATAAGTACGCTGGCGGCACATTGTGCATGCACTCAATTATGGTTAATTATAGAACTAAAGAGCCGCGATGCCGGCGGTTTTGAAAGGCGCCGATTTCGCTCAATGAATACTGACCTTCACATGCTTAGCGCTCACGGTAGGCCTAGTTAAAGATATAAACTCTCCATTCGTTTGCATGATATAGTACCTGATTGGCGAGCATAGGGTTAGTATTTCGATTACAACTCGTAAGCTGTGCACTGTGCAATTTCACCGACGAGGGACAAAAGTCCCTTCAACCTATTGGTTTACAAACCGCCAACATCCGCTCGTAATATCCTAAAAATCGTAGAATTGGGCTTTAGTCAGTTTTGTTTGCAATGCGCTCTTGTCAGACTCTGAGTGGAGTTAATTTGTATCCGTCGAACAAAAATATTTCAACCCATGATGGCGAGGACACCGGAAACATATCCCAGTTCTACGAGCCAAGATAATTTTTACGATTCGGGAATCACCAGCAGAGGAAAGACATCCCAATGGCCGAATTCATACTAGAGACGAGTTATCCGTCAGAGACGAATCATCCGTCTCAGACGGATAACTAGGAATTAGGGAGCAAAATTCGTCTCAAGCTGATCCGTCTGTCAGCACGTCTTCAAGACTTGCTAACAGACGGATAGCTCGTCTTAGACGGATCATCCGTCTCTAAATTTTTTTCTAGACGGAAAACGAAGACGGTTTTTGACAAAGTTTCCATATGAGAGAGACTGGTTTCTATAGTTTTGCCAGTTTTGAAGGCCGTCCTCCCACCATTTCTTGTTTCTTATCTCACCTCTACTTCTTGTCTTCCTATCTTGAGCAAGATTAGCGAGAGAAAAGGGTAACATGAAGTTCATTAAGCTATTTTCCGGCTCAAACATGCGCTTGACAGAGGATATTCTTCTCTGATATACCGCCATATCCAATACTGTTCTTCTCGATTTCATCAACAAAGCTACGAGAGCCGCCATATTTAAGCTCTCGCCAGGCTTCCACTCGGCTCAACACCGAGACACCCGTCGTGAAACTCGCGAACGATTTATATCTAGACAGATTATTCGTCAAAATTTGTCTTCGGATTTATACTTGGACGGATTATCCGTATGACGGATGATCCGTCTCTAGTATAAATCGGGCCAATGAAGATCAGTGGGTTGATTTCGATGACTCAAACAATTCTTTGAATGCAGGATCTTTCATTTATGGAGAAATAATGCCGGATTTAGAGAGTCAATTAGAAATTGAAGGTAAAGTTAAAATCACCTGAATACAAAGTATCACAAGCAGCCAATTCAGTGTCGATAACTTTTCAAATTTCAAGGTTGACAAGAGGTCAGAAGTATGCAAGTGTGACAGGTAACGCGAACTTCAGTCGAACTTCAGTCGTAATGGCTGACGTTTCGAGCGTTCGCCCTTCGTCAGAGCGATTGGGTAACGATAAATATAGAGCGATTAGGTAACGATAAATGGTCTGAGTGAAACTTTGTCAGGCACAAGTTTGCGATCGCGTCGATATAGATACAATTTTACCAAAAGCTTATCGAATCGTCATCTCTAAGTCTATCTCTTATTTATGAATTGTATGTTTTCACTCCTCGATGGAGATGTAGAACCCACAAACATTTGATAAAAGCACATTTTAGGCCAATTTTGTTGTTGCGAAAATTGATACGATGCTTAATTCACTTCGGTTGAATTACACTTCGATAAAAATTAGTAAATTATTTCAGATTTCTTGGATTCCGTCGTTGTTTTCAATGTAGAACCCGGCCAAAACCAGAAGGCGCCCTCACATTGGCTTTGTAGAGTGGGTCTTCAGTACATTATCCCTTTCATTGGTTTGTGACTTATTAGGCAACATTGCACGGTTTGATTTTCCATATTCTGGAAACAGTTGCAGCTTACAGAGAGAGAGGATTGTTTTTCCTAGAGGCTTATTTTTGCCCTCTTATTGAGATACACATGTAGCATTATAACCTTCTGTAAACATTGGTGGAGATATTAATTAAAATCTGGGATACTGTTAATTTAGTTTTCCTCTGAATAGTGAACGGTTTAAAGTTTTCATTCGAAGGATGAGCATTAATTTCCCTGTAGTCTTTTGCAAGACAATGCAAGATTTAAATGATATATTTGCTCTCAATTTATCACGTGTACAGATATTTTAAAATAGGTCAAAGGACTGAAATCGTGACTAGTTAATATATTTTGGCTAGAGTAGATTGCTTATTTGCTGTATAACAAACTTCAATTTTATTAAATTAATGATATTTTTCAGTCAGTTTTTGTATCTGATCATAAAATAAAGTGATATGACTTAAATTGTATGTTGTATTGCTTACTTCTTTTAATATTTTAATATTCGAATTTTATCATGTGGCATTAAGCCACGTGCTATTTTAGGTACATAATTCCTGTTGAAAGTTAATTGACAGAATATTCGTTGCATCTGTTATTGACTGGCTAGAGAAAGACTGTTATATTCCTGTATCCATGAGTGAATTTCTGCAACATCTAGTGAATGAGAGGATGCAGAATTTCTGCAACATCCAGTATATGAGTGGTCACAGTGTTTCTGTGACATTCAGTGACATTCTGTGACATTCTGCGATACCTTGTGAATGAGTGGTTGCAGAATTTCTGCGACACTCAGTGAATGAGTTGTTGCAGAATTTCTGCAACACCCAGTGTATGAGTGGTCGCAGAATTTCTGCAACACCTGCTGAATGAGTGGTTGCAGAATTGCTGCGACACCCAGTGAATGAGTGGTTGCAGAATTTCTGCAACACCCAGCGTATGAGTTGTCACAGAATTTCTGCCACACTTAGTGTATGAGTGGTTGTAGAATTTCTGCGACACTTAGAGTATGAGTGGTTGCAGAATTTCTGCAACACCCAGTGTATAAATGGTCGCAAAACTTCTGCAACATCCAGTGTGTGAGTGGTAACAGAATTTCTGCGACATCCAGTGGACTAGTGGTTGCAGAATTTCTGCAACACACAGTGCATGAGAGGTTGCAGAATTTCTGCAACATTCAGTGACTGACTGTGAGCAGATTAGTCGGATTACCTCTGCATCTTTTCATGATTGTCCATAAGCTAATCTCGATTGTGACATTTTCAAGCTTGACATTAAATACAAAAAAAACTATCCCCTGCGTTCCACAGACATTAAATGTATGTAAACAGGTCGCTTTCAAAACAACCTCAGAATTTGCTGGAGTAGCTTTGTTCAATGCAGACTCTTGCAAACTGTGAGGAGCTGTATGCTAGACAATCTTCGAAAATACCCTTTTACTCACGATTGAAAACACTCTCTGTTTTTTGCGTAGGTTTAGAGGCATATGTGTATCAGGTACTTTGTGATGACCATTAAGTTACCTAACTTTAATCGGAAGAAGCCATGATATCGGAAGCTTAGGGCAGTGACTTGGCACCAATTTCAGATCAAGTCTCTGATTGGTTAATTCGTAATTCGGTACGAAAAGGCATACAAAAATACATTTGGGTACCTTTTGATCCAGTTGCACAATTCTTTGTTGAAAATGCAGAAACCTCTCATTTACGCTTGTGTTTAGACCAATAAAAACTTGGGCAACATCCTGTATTGCGAGACGGATATCCTCTAGCTCTGTATTTCTGTCCTAAAAGGTAAAATGGGCCAAGTTATTGTGTTAGAGAATTAGTGGGCCTATTGAATTTGGTAAATTAAGTAGAACAGTCCTCGTTTTGTTTTTGAAAATAATGATGATAGGAATCTTAACAGTGAGAGGTTCAGAAAAAGATAAATTCTTAATTTTGGTAATGAAACTTACTTTGTTTGTCATGTTTTCCATATCTTTTTTCATCTGCCATAGAGTAAGACATTGATGTTGAACTTAATGGAATCATTGTAATTTTTTTCTAATATAGATGGAATTGGAAATGGATGAATTTAAACTTGCCTTTATCTCTAGCCCTTCCAACTCTGCTGAGACCTAACATAAGGAAGAAAAGAAAAGAAAAGAAACTTCTCAATATCATGAATGAATGGTTCATTCACGATCATTATTATTATTGTAAATATTAACAATAGGAGAATGATTAAGATTATTGAGGGAAGTGGAGGTGAATGGATTGTAAACTTACGTTTTTCTTCAGTTCCCTTACATCCCCTGAAACCTTTAACAACAAAAAATGTGAATCAATATTCCTGATCGAATTTCTTCATTGAAGAATGCTTTCTTGGCATTTGTTATTCATACTGATCTTGTTATGATGATGGCTATATGGGTGTGCAATTTGCATTATAAGGTTCGCAACTGCTATGTTCCCAAAACTGGTTAAAAAAACTAGGAGAGCACTGATAATGTCTGTGATAATGATACTTAAACCCATATTAATGTTCATCAGCCTGATTAGAAATAAAATTTATATCACCCCATTGAAAAAGTTAAATGATGCCTCCAGCTTGTGCTCCAGGGAAGTATTAAAGCTCATTTTAAAATCTCGATTTCTATACTATATTAACTAATACTCAGGGGGTTAAAAGTCCTATTGAGGCTCTTAGTCTTATGTACATACATATACCCAAGTATTTCATGTCAGTGCATTTTGCTTTTATTTGATCACTGCTAAAGATTAAGAATTACTCCTACCGAGTAATCTCTTAATGCAGAGAGGCTCCTTTTCAACTCTTGCATATTCTTTTGAAGTTCTGACGTTTCTAGAAAAGGGGAAACAATAAGAAAAACATAGAAAATGTAAGAAAAAGATAATGAAGGATTTCAAATGAAAAGTTGAACACATGGATAAATATAAATATAAAGATAAAGCAATTAACACATGTTGAAGTTTCATAAAGTTAGAAGCAAATGTTGACACCGTTCACCAAACATCTTTTAATACAAAAAGGAAGAAATAGGACCAACTTATTCTTGAACTATTGCAACCAATCACTATCAATAGAATTATTTGTCCAACTCTCAAAAATGTGGTAAGCAAAAGGCCTTTTTCCTGCTTATTATATGTAAACGATCTTTCCAAGTTAGTGCATCATTCGTAAGGAAGAAGGTACATTGTATGCCTATAATAACAGCACTACATTTACGAGAAATAATGTCAAAATTGAGAAGAAAAAGAAAATTTCGATCTGCACCTGGAAAAAAGTCGATTATGGCTTGAAGCAATCTACCGTAGGTTCCTTCGAATTTGTCAATAGCTTGTCAGTAACGCTTCACCCAACGAATTTTGGATAAGATTCTGACAAAATTCTACACTGAAGTCCGAAAAAAAAATTGAACAGAATTCGAAGCCTACTCGCTTCGCATTGTGCAGGCATCACTCGACAGGTATCTCCGCCGAAAATATTATTCGGCATCCATCATCAGCGGGCGAAAGTTCAAGAAGTCTCTAGAGACTCTAAATTCCGAGGCAAAATGTCAGAGATGCCAAGGCAAAGAAAAATTGCCTAACAGAGCTTAGCCGTGCACTCGAGTAGACGAAGAATTATTTTGGAGTGAAGGAAAATTTGAGAGTCACAATGATGTTGCCTTTACAAACGTTACTTTAAGAATCTGGCTGAGCATTTGGGTTTCAGAGGCCGCTAGGACTATTAAAACGCTTACGTTGAAGATTTTTCCATTTTGCAAATGGCAGCTGGTAGCGAAGCTGTTCAGTTTGAAGAGAATCCAACCAAAACCAGGCAAGGTGGATTGATAAACAAAACCCGAAGTTCTCCTCAGCAAATGTGGTCTACCGACGGTGGTGAAAAGGATCTCGTGTGGCTTTGCGTAGAGGGCTTGCACGTCGACCCCGACCAATTAGAAATTCCGGCCCTTTGTACCTTGAAATTGTTTCTAGCCCCTCCACAAGTGTTGATTGGCCAAATCTAGAACGGGTAAGCATCGAAATTGGCTAAATAATGAAGTTAGTTGCAAGTTGTTTACCAGAGGAGCGTGCCAAGAAAATAACGAACCATTTCACAAGGAAAACGGTCGTTGCAAATTAAAAGAAGCGGGCCAACCACTTCATAAAATTATCCAAGTTACTGGACATGCCAGAGAGTCCTCGCTGGATGATTAGGACCAAACAACGGAAAGCGAACGAAGGTAATTGTCTCGTATAGCAAGCAGATATGTCGCAACATTGACTTTATCAGTGATAGTATAAAGGTCAATCGCCGGCAATTATTTCCTCCTCTTGTCCAGGCCCAGAAGATATAAACATGAAGGAAAACATCCCAGCTAATCCTTAAAAGAAGTTTTAATGCTTTCTTTTGTTCCTTGAGATAGCTGTAGTAGATGCATGCCGATTTTATTTTCGAAACTAACTTACGGCGCGAATTTCAAATTGTGTGTATTTTTCGTTCCCTGGCTGTACGCCTGGTTGATTATTTAATTGATTGACACTTGAACGGTGGATTGGTTGTTGCTAAGTAATCGTTTTGCCTTAGTGGTTTTAGTCTTTATTATTATTTTTTTATTTTTTATTTTTTCATCTTTGTTTTAAAAGCCGATTTTAAACGTTGCATTTCACTTTTGTCGAATATTTTAATGATCACGTTTTGAATAATCATGTTTTTTTGGTTCATTTTTTTCCCGAAATTGTAATGGTTACAATTAATTGGCGACAGGACTCAGTGTCGTCCTATTCTGTCAGTTATGTTATCAGTGATTGGCAATCACTCTTATGACTACACACCGAATTGGACTTCACTCGGTTCTACAACCATTTTTAATTATCTACATGGAACTTTGAATTTTCTTGGTGTGTATGTTAATCAAAATTTCAACTTCAAAGTTTATTAAGGGGGGATTGATTTTTATGTTAATAAATGAATTCACGTGTTTATTACCACAAGCCCCATTGAAAACATGAACATTTATGCTTTCACTATTTTTTATTACCTCATCTTTGGTCAGATATTATTACGCATATGGTTTACTTTTCGTGCCTCGACTAACAATTTTAGATATTGGAAAAAGATGAAAAATGGTCAAAGTTCTCGATTCGATGACTCGGAGCGTTTGCATCATTTACAATGCCTCCAGCCTTTGCATACTACATGACGCTAACTTGGTGTTGAGAGGCTCACATCATTAGGATACCCTTTTGAAGAACACACTATATATGTCAAAGATAGATTATTCGCTAGCTAAATTCGAAATTTTTCCTTTCATCCTAGGCAACCGTGACAACATCCAAAAAGTCACTGAATGTATTATTCAACGCTTAGTTGTCACAACTTAGCCTAATCTGAATATCAAATCATGCAGACACACTAGGAATGCCCTTGTTTTTTATGATTACGGATAAGTCTTATGATGGACGGATTTCCCCTTCTATAAACAATGTTCTCAGAAATCGATTTCCCCTTCAACTACATACATCAAATTTGACCTTCTCGAAATCCGGTCTCAAATGACATACTAAAAAAGCAGTGATTGCGCTTTTCACTATTGACATTTTTTAAATCCTCATCTTTTGTCAGATATTACTGCACATATGGTTTATTTTTCGTGCCCCGACCAACAATTTTGTATATTAAAAAGAAATGAAAACTGGTTAGAGTTTTCAATTCAATGACTCGGAGCGTTTGCGTCAATTACAAAGTCTCCAGCCTTTGCATACTACATGACGCTAACTTGGTGTCAAAACGATATATATATATATATATATCGACCTATACATTACCTTATATATTTTCTATGTTTTTTAGATGTGGTCCTACTACATGCCGAAAATTCACAAAACAAACAAATTATGCTAAAAAATGAGTGGAATGATATAATATGACAGTTTCGGTTTCACTTCTGAATTGTTTTACTCTTTGACAACATCCCGCAAGCCACTGAATGTGTTGTTCAACGTTCTTTTGTTACAACTTAGCCTTACTTAAATATCAAATCATCCAGACACAATAGGAATGCCTTTGTTGTTCATGATTAAGGATAAGTATTATGAAGGACGGATTTCCCCTTCTATAAACAATTTTCTTAGAAATCCTATACAAATCATAAGTGCGGGAGAAACTCTGGTAAATAAAGGTCTAATATGCAAAACTCTGATCAAAGCTCTTCAAGAAATTTATTTTGTTTGGGAGTGGAAATTTTTATGCGAGAGTGGTCTGTCAATAAATTGGACTTTTTTATTTAAAAAAGACGATGACTTTTATTGACCCAGTTTCTTGGAATCTTAATAATGACAATACTCAGATCATATCGAAACGGAAGTTCCTCTAATTTCCTCTTTAGACAAGAGATGGTAAAAACCAAAGTGAATTATTTTTTGCTTCATCGTGTCGTTTAATTAGTGCGCTTTTTCAATCACTTTTAATATTAGAATGGATCAAGACCTACAAGTGTTTAATACTTACAAAAGGGAGGAGCAATGGTACCCGTACCTGTAGAAACTTCGCTCCGTGCCGTAATGATTGCCACAGCTAAAACCAAAGTGGCAAGGGCTGTTAAGAGCGAAGCAACAGCGATGGCAGATACGATAAAGAATAATGGGTTATGCTTCACTGTATCAGAATCTGTATACTGCTGTGTTTCCACGTTTGGTTTTGCCTGTGAAGTGTCCCTTCCAAAAACTACTTCGTCATAGGTTTCGGCGTTATCTTCCTGTTTAGATTCCATTTCGAAATAAATGTTCTCCTGCCCGACCTCGATCTTAGTATCCATTCTTGGATGGTATGATCGCGCCGTTTGTGAAACAGATTAACTTTAGACTCTTCTTGGGACGAAACGTGCTTAGGCAGACCAAAGAGATGCTGAAATGCGATGCGATATGATCATATGATCATCACTTACCCGAGAGAGCTAAGATTGACTGGTTCGTGAGGTGTCTTAAATAGGATAATGACAGGAAGTATTTATTAGGACGTAGACTTATAGATTGTACAATAAAGGATTAAACTGACCTTAAATGATGACAAAAGCATTATTGAACAAAATGATAATGCTGTCTTGATATTGATCCAGGTTATCATTATCTACCCACTTTCCAGCATACAGTGAGATATCAGGGTAAAAACAAATGAGGTATAGAGGTTTTCCGTTCGGATGTCATTAGTGATTTTCAATGTGTTTCTCAGTAGACTTATGTAAACAATGTCTTATACGGTGGCTGAAAGTGTAGCATATGCTCTACAGATACAAACTACCTTTACTTCCGATATCAAGTTCTGACGGCGTTGTTATAGTGTATTATATTATAATACCTAGTAGTCAGTGAAATGTTTTGATGATGTTTTGACGATTGAAAATTTACCAAAAGCAACACTTGTAACATCTGTTCATAAGAAGCATGTGTCAAGTTTTTAACACGTTGGTAGCCGATTTCTCCGGCTATTGACAGGTTGCTGTTCTGTGGATACAATCGACGCGGAACCGAGAGAAGCAAGCTCAGGATATTTGAAATTGATTTATTAATTATATGATATCAAACTCCAGGTAAAAGCAAATAAATTATTTTCGTCCAAAATTTTTCTCCCCAAATATTACATTGGGATACAAAACAAAACCATACGGCACAACTTACGGCACAAGCTATCAGCGGTCTTCTCTTTTGTGCGGACCTTTGTGAGAACAGTATAACATCGAACTGGACCTAAATTTAAGAGAGTATTTCTTCACTTCAGAAGCCTAAAACCTTCATTTCTCCCTCAGCTTCCAGATATGGAGAGTTTATATTCTGATTT